AAGATTGCTAAAACAATTAAAGAATTCCTAAATAAATTTAAGAATATTCCATGTTCGTGTAATGGAAGATTTAACGTTGTTAAGATGGCAATACTCTTCAAAGCAATTTGTAAATTTAATGTAATCTCTATCAAAATTCTGATGGCCTTTTTTTAAATGGAAAAGCTGATCCTAAAAATCATATGGAATTGCGAGGGACCCAGAATAGCCAAAATGATCTCTACAAATAACAACAAAATTGGAGGACTCAAATTCCCCAATTTTAAAACTTACTGCAGAGCTACAGTAATCAAAACAGTGTGATACTGGCACGAGGGTATTCATATAGATCAATAGAATTGAACTGAGAGTGCAGAAATAAACCCATACGTCTATAGTCAATTGATTTTGAATAAGGATGTCAGGACTATTCAATCGGGAAAGAATAGTCTCTTTAACAAATGGTGCTGGAACAACAAGGTTTCCACATACAAAAGAATGAAATTAGACCCTTACCTCACACCATACACAAAAATTAACACACAATGGATCAAAGACCTAAATATAAGAGCTAACACGGCCAGGCACGGTGGCTCACGCTTATAATCCTAGCACTCTGGGAGGCAGAGGTAGGAGGATTGCTTGAGCTCACGAGTTTGAGATGGGCCTAAGCAAGAACAAGACCCTGTCTCTACTAAAAATAGAAAAATTAGCCAGGTGCAATGGTGCATGCCTGTAGTCCCAGCTACTCAGGAGGCTGAGACAGGGGGATCACTTGAGCCCAGGAGTTTGAGGTTGCTGTGAGCTAGGCTGACACCACTGCACTCTACCCAGGGTGACAGAGCAAGACTCTGTCTCCTTCTAGGAGAAAACATAGGGGCAAATCTTTACGACCTTAACTTTGGCAATGGATTCTTACATATGATACCAAAAGCACGAGCGACAAAAGAAAAAAAGTAATAAATTGTCCTTCCAAAAAATTAAAAAATTTTTTGCATTAAAACACACTATCAAGAAAGTGAAAAAACAATCCACAGAATGGGAGAAAATATTTGCAAATCATATATATGGTAAAAGGTTGAATATACAGAATATACAAAGAACTCTTACAACTCAACCACAAATGACAAGCAACCAAATTAAAAAAGTGGCAAAGGACTTGAACAGACATTTCTCCAAAGAAGATATGCAAATAACTACCAAGCACATGAAAAGATGTTCAACATCATTGGCCATTCGGGAAATGCAAAGCAAAACCACAATGAGATACCACTTCATACCCACTAGGATGGCTACGATAAAAAAAAATAGAAAATAAATGTTGGCGAGGATGTAATTGGAACTCTCCTACATTGCTGGTGGGAGTGATGTATGGTACAGCTGTTGTGGAAAACAGTTTGTTGGTTCCTTAATTAGTTAAACACAGAATTACCATATGACCCAGCAATTCTACCCCTGGGTATATGTCAGGAGGTTTTAAAATACATGTCTACACAGAGACTTGCGTGTAAGTGTTCATGGCACTCTTATTCATAATAAAGGAAAAAATGGGCACTATCTAAGTGTCCGTCAACTGATGAATGGATAAACAGTGTGCCATATCTGTGCACTGTAATATTACTGAGCGCAAAAATGAATGCAGTCCCAACACACGCTGTAGCATGGTTGAGCCTCAGACACATGATGCTGAAAGAAACCAAATGTAAAAGACAACGTATTGTATGATTCAGTTTATATGAAATGCCCAGAAAAGAAAAAGGAAAATCAGTAGAGACCAAAAGTAGATGAGTGCAGCTGGGGATGGCCTTGGGAACTGACTGCAAATGGGCACAAGGGATCTTTTGGAGGGGATGGAAATGTTCTAAAATTAGATCATGGGTGACGGCTGCACAATTCAATAAATTTACTAAAAATCATTGAATTGTGTACTTACAGTGACTGAATTTTATGTTATATAAAGTATAGCTAAATAAAGCTGTTAAGCTAAATTAAAAAGAGGAAATGGGTAGAGGGAGGGAATGTCTCAATTATTTTTTTCTTAGCAGGCCCCTTGGCTGAAATGCAAATGAGACCACTTCCTCCCAGTTGTCCGGCCATGAATACTGAGAGGTTGGGGGGAGTCTCAGAGATCTAATACGCCCTCCTTTCAAGGCTATGGGGACCATACTTAAGAGACATTTATAGACCCAGAGGGATCCCTCAAGGGGCCTGTTCCTGATCTATTTCTGTTTCTGAAAGGACTCGTGTTTACTCCAATGGACATGGGTCTGGCGGCCTCAGTCTCTCTATCTGTAAAATGGGTCTGTTAAATTTCCACCTCTGAAAGCACCTGCTTTTCAACCACCAAGGGACTAAGTGGCCCCTGTCCATCCCACCCCCTCCCCAAGTCGTGGCCTGAGTACTCTTTTGAAAATGTAAACTGGATTAAGCACTCCTCACATGACTTCCCACTTCCCTCGGAACAATCTACCTTCCTTGCCCTGTCCTGTAAGGTCCCATGTGGTGTGACTTCTATGACTGCACCTGTCACTCGTCTGCTTGCTCACTCTATTCTGCCATGCTGTCCTCAAGTTCCTGAAGGCAGCTACATTTTTCCTACCTCAGGGCCTTTGCACTTGCAGGTCCTTCTGCGTAAAATGTTCCCCCATGGCTGCTTCCTTCTTATCACCTAGTGTACTACCCCTAAAGGTCACAACCTTGATCCCTCACTGGTTTTCTATGACATTTAGTACAATTTGCACTTAGTTTGTCTGTCTCTCCCCACTAGATTATAGGCTCCATGGGGGCGGTCACTGTGTGTATATTTCTGTGGGATGTCACCAGTATGTAGCCTGCTAAACAAATATTGGCGGGAGAAAGAACGGCAGGCAGGTAGGCGGGAGAGAGGAGGGATCGAACATCTTTGTGTTAACACACATCCAGGAGCAGTGTGGTGAGTTAACAAAGAGCGTGGGTTCAAATGATTGAGTTCAAATCCCAACTCTGCCACTCACCAGCTGTGTGACCTTGAGCAAGTCGCTTAACCTCTCTGAGCCTGAGTTTTCTTATCTATAAAACAGGGACAATATGATGATGAGAACTATCTTCTCAATTTATTCTGAGGTTTAAGTGGGATGATGCATCTTTAAAGTCCTTAAAACTCTGGCACAGCGGGAGCTATCAGCCCTTTTTAGCAATCCTTCTCTTGATCTTTCAACCACCGCAAACTCCAGTGCAGGGTGTCAGAGAATTCGCCCTGAAGATCAAGAGAAAGCAAAACAAAAGCTGCCTTCCTCCCAAGATTTGTTCTCTGGAGGACACGAGATGTTTTGGTTGTCAGGAGGAGAAGCTCTATAGGGCAAACATCCTTCAAATTGACCACAGGGGAATTTGTACCAAGTTCCTCAAAACAGTTAGAAAAAGAAAAAAATAAAATAAAGAATAGCAAGATGCTTTCTCTTTTTTCTGTGGAGCAGTCATACAGGTCAGCTGTAAGTTGTTTCCCAAAAATGATTCAGCTGGGAAAGACAGCATGTGCATCTGAGCGGCCCTGAGCATCAGAACAGCACAAAATAGCCTGCACTCACCCTGGTAACTTTGCAACCGCTTTGGGTCCATTTTCACAGCCTGGTGCAAGCTTAGGAATCAAATACCCCAGGTTCAAACCCCAGCTCTGACACTGCTGGGCTTCTGTGCTGTTTCACCCCTCTGAGCCTCAGTCTCTCCATCTATAAATGGGCCTCATCTTGTGCACCTCACAGGGTGTGGGACAAACTGAGGTCACGTCGGTGCCCAAGTAATGCAAGGTGGTGGTGGTGGTGGTGACAGTTCTGTTGCTCTTCTTCTTTCAAGGCTGCTAGGCATGAACTTGTTACATTTTGTCCCCTGCTTTCTTCAACCAGAGACATCTGACCCTCTCGTCGGCCCCTGGCTTGTTAGCAAGATGAAAACTCTCTTGAGAATTTCTTTTCGCTGTTTTCTTCCTGGGTTCCCATGTGTTAATGGCTGCCCTCTCTCCTGTGGCTAGGTGTCCCCATTTGACAGATGGGCAAAGCGAGGCATTCAGAGAGGTGATGGGATGTGCTCAAGGGTCTCTCTTTTCAAGGGGATGGGGACAGGGTCCTGCTCCCTACAGCTCCGCAGCAGGAGGCTGGATCCAAAGGCAACAGGGCCAGACAGGAGCCTGGGTCGGGCCAGAGCAGGGTCCCAAGCTCAGACCCTACTGGGCCGGAAGGCTCAGGAATGAGGGAAACAGGCCAGTTTGCGAAGCCTGGAAGAGGGGTGTCCCTGGGACCCGGGGCGTGTCCCTGGCCCTTCTCTGCGAGCTGAGGGGTTGGACTCGGCCGCTGCAGGCCTCCGGGCGCAGCTGTGCTGCCACTTCACACCTTGGGGCTTCGGTTTCCACATCTGTGCGATGCGGTGGCTCCCGGCCACACTGCCCTCCTCGTGGGTCGTGACCGTGAGGCCTATGGGGGTGATGTCACCTGTCCCCAAGAGGCAAATGTCACCCTGCTGGCCCAGTCGTCTTCCTAGTGGGTGACCTTTGGGACAGTGGGTGCCCGCTGCGGAGCGGGCCCCTCCCACCCCTTCTCACTCCCTCCGGGGCGGAGCCAGCGGCCGGGGGGGCGGGGCGGCGGGAGCGGCTCACCACATCCTCCTCTTCCTCCCCACGCCGCACACGCGGGACGGCGGCCGGCAGCCTCTGCGGAGCGACTGCCCGCTTCTCCCTGAGCGTGCGCGACAGCCACGCGTCTGTCCGTCTGTCTGCCTGCCGGCCTGTCCGTCCCTGCCATCCTGCCACCTCCGTCCTCCGCCCGGCTGCCCCGTGGCGATCGCCGGCTGCCCGGGTCCCAGCGTGACAGGTCCTATGACTGGCTGGGCAATCAGGGCAGCTCGCGGATTCCCACCCCGGGCCCCGCCTGCTCTCTCGGACCCCCACGCCGAACCCAGCTGCCACCCCTGGGAGCCCGCCAGCTTGCCCCCGGCGCGCAATGGATTTCTGAGCGAGAGCTGAAACGGCAGGTACGAGACTGCGGCTGCGCTTGGGGGCTGCTCTTGCTGCGGCATCCAGCGCCGCGGTGGGAGGGCTCGGAGCGGTCCTGTGCCGGGTCACAGCTGGGGACACAAAGGCACAGAAGCCTCATGCAGCGAGGCCAGGCAGAGTTGGCGTCGGAGTCCCTGATTCAGCCAAGCCCCGGGGGGCTGGGGGCCTGGCAACGGGGGCGTGGCTGGTAGGACCCCCGTCCGTGGAAACCAGCTTCCAAAACGCAGGGGGCTCGGGGGAGGAAAGCCAGTTTCCAGCCAAACGTGATGTGACAAGCACCCAGACTCCGGGCAGCCTGCTAGGCAGTGATGGGCACAGGCAGTGATGGGCACAGGGCGGGGGGGGGGAGGCAAGCTGGCGCCAACTTTGTGCCAGCTGCTGTGTTTTATCACCGTTAGTCCATCTAATCCTTCCAAACTGGGGTCGGTGTACCCATTTCACAGATAAGGAAGTGAGGTTCCAAGAGATAGAGTGACGTTTCCTCAGTGACTGAGCTAGGACGCAGCAGGGTGGGCCATCAAGCCAGGTGGCCCCACGAGCTGTCACTTTTCTCATGAAGCACAGGGTGGGAGTCAGATGATAAGAGGCCAACCCGGTTCTGTGTGCGAGTGGAGGACAGGGGAGGCTGAGCCTTGAAGGACGGGAAAGAAAGAAGTGGGCAGATGCGTTCCTGGCGGGGGAGCCCGGGGCGGGGGAGGCCTGGATGGGACCCCAGACTGTTGACGGAATGACTAGTCGCTGCTCAGCCAGAGCAGGAGGCCAAGTGCAGGGACCCTGCAAAGCCACGCGGCTGCTCTTGGGAGAACGTCCGCGCTCCCCAGTGGGGAGGGCGGGGGTTCCAAAAGCGCACGTGGAGTGGGAGAAACCTGCGGGTCAACATCTGGCCATGTGACTTCCAGGCTGGTTGAACTGGGGTAAGTCTTTCTGCTTCTTCTAACCTCACCAAGCCTCAGTTTTCTCATCTGTAAAATGGACCAAGGTGGCGTCTTCCTCGTGGGGCTGTCTGTGAGGGCTCCGGGGCATAACGATGTGAACGCTGTGATGGCAGATGCCCCCTCCCCGTTCAGAAGGGAGTTTGCGTCACGTGGGACCTTGAGCCTGTGGGGGGAAGGGCCAGATTCCAAGAGCGACAGAGGACACAGGGACACGCTAGGGAAGCTGTGGTCCTGCCTTCCCCGGCCCCCTGGGCTCTGGTCCTCTGGCACCAGCTCACCATATTGGAGGCACTTGCGAGTCTCCCATAATCCTCATGGCATCAGCTGAGGCTGTGGCCTCATTCAGCCCATTTCACAAATGAGGAGACTGAGGCTCAGTGGAGACAAACCTGCCCCAGGTTGACCGTGACCGGGAGATGTGGAGCTGGGGCTGGACCCCTGTCTGTGTGACAGCAAGGCCACACCCGCTGGATAGGGTAAAATAAAAATGAGAATCGTGCTCCTGGGGCACCCTCTGAGAAGGGGCATTGGATCGGGATGGCTGGACCCCCACTGAGCCCTGAGCCTCCCGCCCCACAGAAGGTCGGGTCCTTGCCCAAGCCTGCAGTGGGGGCAGCCAACAGCCCTTGTGACAGGACCTGGCCAAATCCGGGCCAGGAGGGCTGAGCCGGGGGCCCAGAGGAGAAGGTGGGAGGTGGGGGCTGGCACCTGTAAGGGGCTTGTGGCCGGTGGGCGGGGGCAGCTGGAGGAGGCGGCCAGCCAGGAGAAGATGGGAAAGAGGAACACAGACCGCCAGAGCTCTGGGAGGCGCCCACCTCTGGCAGCATCAGGACCAGCTGGTGCCTGACAGATAAATACACGAGTGATAAGAAGGCGCGTCCCTTTCTTCCGCGGCCAGCGCGGGGAGCTAGCACCTTCAGAATCCTCGCGGCAGGCCCGACGGCCCTTCTCCAAGCAACTGGGGGTCCCCGCGGTCCGGGGGCGCTGGACCTAGCTTACCCCATGCCACCCATGGTGATTTGGGGCTTTGAAAGCAGCCAGACTTGGGTTCAAGTCCTAGCTCCACCACTTGGTGCCTGTGTGACCTTGAGGAAGCCACTTAACGTCTCTGAGCCTCGGCTGCCTGATCTGTAATCTGAGGACACACTGCAAGAATAAGAACAGGAACGAGGACGCCAGTCTCCGCTTTGTGGCGAGGGCTTATTCAACATGCACGTGTCCAGCCCCTGCTAGGGGTCGGGCACCTTCCCAGGTCCCAGGGTTTGGTGGTGCACAGGCAGACACAGCCGGCGACAGAGGGGAGGGAGCTTGGCAGTGACTGGCAGACGGCCCACGGAAAACGGTGGCTGTCATGGTTTACTCTACTATTGCTGGTCGTAATCGGCTAGAACACCTGCCACGGCTTCTGACCTAGACGGGTCCTCAATAATGACGGCTCTTGTGACAATTCTACTTCCCCCTTTTACAGATGGGGAAACTGAGGTTCAGAGAGGGGTGGGGATTTTCTAGGGTCACTCAGGGAGTCATTTAGAAGGGGAGGGAAGAAAGCCGTGAAGGGGAATGAACTCTTCCTTGAGGAAGAGGGTCCTCCTTCCCCACCCTCCAGTGCCCCCGGACACTTGAAGGCCATGCGGGGGGAGGGCCAGGGGAGCCCCACCCCTACCCCACGGCTCACAGGTGCCACCGCCCCCACTCCCTGCCTGGCCCCAGGCCAAAGGGACTTTTCAGACAGCTCAAATGAGAGCTCTGAGTAAACTTGGAACTTCTGAAACCACCTGAGAATATTCCCCGGGGTGGGGGCAGGGGCCCCTGGAGGCCCCCGATGGCCCAGGACATCTGCATCAGGGACCCAGCCTTCTGGTCCCTGCAGCTGCAGGAAGGGTCTGGCCGCCACATCCAAATTGTCCCCAGAGAGGTGGGGCAAGTTAGCAGCCTGGCTCCCCACTCAGCCTTTGCGACCATGAACAAGGCTCTGGGCCTCCTTTCCTTCCTCTGCCAAGTGGGAACGAGGACAGTGTAGACTCGGGCTGCCAGCTTTCTCTAGTACGAATTAGTAACACTCTGTCTCCTTCGGCCAGGGCCAGGGCAGGCTGGGGGCCTGCTGGGAGCGGAGGAGAGAGAGGGCACGTTGCCAGCCCTGCCCCAGGTCCCTTCCTGGCTGCTCCAGCAGTCATGGTTCAAAGCGTCCTAGCTCTGCTTCACGACCAGCCCCCTGGTCTGGGGAAGTGGGGCTGGAATGAGGTATGGCTGCAGGTGCTGAGAGAGGTTGCACAGTCTGGGCAAAGGTGCCCGGGGTGATACAGGCCACCGGCAGGTAGGGGTTGCTCAGTCGGGACGAGGTTGCTGAGACTGGGACAGGCTCCTCAGCCGGGAGAGGTTTCCCAGGCTGGAAGAAGTCGCAGGAGGGAAAGGTCGCTCTGGCTGGGAGAGATGGATAAGCGGAGAGGTTGCACAGCCTCGGGGGCTGCGTGGGTTGCGGGGGGCAGGCCCTTCCCCCCACCTTTGGTGCCTACTGACTGAGCTATCAGCTTAAGGTCCCCGGCACACCTGTCTTCAGACACTTTTGCCACTGGCAAAAAAAAAAAAAAAAAAAGTGAAAAGCAACTAACATTAGCCACACACCTACAGTGTGTAGCACCTGCCTTCTCGCAGTCCCCAGCCAGGCCAGGGCCACTGCCCCCATCCCCCAGATGAGGATAGCTGAGGCTGAGAGAAAGGAAGAGCTGGGGCCACAGTCCCACCGGGAGTTAGTGGCAGAACCTCCTTTCCGATCCAGAGCCACCGGGCTAGCTCTTCCCAGCCTGAGGACTCTGTTTAGGTGAGAACTCGCTGTGTGACCCTGGGCAATCCGCTCTCCCTCTCTGAAAGTTCCTTATTACTAATCTGATGACAGCAGTCCCAATCATTCAGATTCTGCCAGCCGAGGGTGTTGCTGAGGGCGAGATGGGGTCAGTGAGGAAGCTGATGGGGAAACCAAGACCTCTCAGGGCCTGCTTCTTGTAACTAGATACCGCAGTTCTTCATCCCATTCATTCATTCGCTCATTCATTCACTCATCGTTCTTCTTCAACGACTCTTTGAGCACCCACTGTGCTCCAGGACCCATTCTATGCACTGGGGGTACTGTGGTACTTGGCAAATGACCCAAGCTCTGGGGGCTTTTGCTCCGGCATGGAGACAAGTCATAAACACAAAACAAAACAGAGAGATTTGCTAACCTAATCCTAACATTGCAGTTGCAGTGAAGGAGACAGACGAGGGAACGTTTGGTGCAGAGAGCCTCAGAGGAGACCCGTGTCAGATGGGGCAGATGGCCTCCTCGGAGAGGCAGCACTGAAGTTGGAAGCTGAGGATGAAAAAGCAAAGAAGCTGGGGAAATGATCTAGGCAGAGGGAAAGGCCTGTATGTGCAAAGGTCCTGAGGCAGGGGAAAGGTTGGAGCATTGGAGCTTTTATCCTCCTTAAGCACATAGGCTCTAAATGCCCTGAATTTAAGAAAGAAGAGTTGAAAAGAAGAAGGTTTAATCTCGGAGTGTATAGTCTACGTAGGTTTTAACAGTGAGAGTAATCTGCACAATCCATCACCATTAAAGCTTTCTCTTTCATTTAGTCATTCCTGTAACAAATGTTTTGAGCACCTACTATGTGTCAGGCACTGGTTAGTCACCGGGCTTCCAGTGGCAACCAAGAACACATGGTCCCTGCCTTGATGGTGCTCAGGATGTCAACGAAAACACCCCGAGCTGTGCGCTCCGGTGGAGGGGAGACCACAGAGGAAGGAGTGACTCATACTCCTTGGAGAGGTCAAAGATCGACAGAGGAGGTGACATTTGAATGGGATTTTGAAGATTGAGTAGGAGGCTGACAGCCAACGAGGGTGGAGAGTTCCGGCGGCTGAAACAGAACATGCAAAGGCGTGGGAGCCTGAGGAACGGGGCCTGTGGGCGAAGCTGCCAGCAGTCCCGTGTGCCTGGAGTCCGGGAGGAATACTGGGGCCAGATCCCGAAACGTCTTGGATGCTGGGCTAAGGAACCTGGGGGTTTC